TCGGTGATGACATTGGTTATGATAAGTAGGTAATCTCCACGAAGTGTTCTACTTCAATTGGCACCCACCGTGGGGCCAAGGAATTTTGGGGCGAGCATGAGCAGGCGTCAGGATAGATATACGATGCTGAGATTGAGTGTCGATTGCTCGTCTTTCAGAGGGAACTGTCCTTGTTAGAAGAGAAATCGAAAATCTTGTGACTTCCTCGAGAAACTGGCACGCTCCGTATAAGATTGATCTCAACCTCAGACTTCCAATGACGTATAGATCTACGTTGTCGATTCAGTGCTGCAAGGACATAATCGAACTGGTGTATTTCAACATGTCGCTTACACCCCCGAGCGTCAGCGAGATAGAGAACCCCGGTGCGAAAAGACGGGTTCTGCTAGTTTAAAATAGAGTGTGTTTAGCATCTATGTGGAAATAGAGAGAGTGCTCTCAATAAGTGAGCGATCACAAGCACACACGACGATTGTAAGTAGATTATCTTGTTTATCCGCTCTCATTTTATTCACCACTCGCCCCGTCCTCTATGCCGGCGAATTCTCGGTCGGTATGCATCATCGGTGCCGGTGCTGGAGGGTTAATTACGGCTCAAACTATTCTCAATGATGGTTGGGCTGAGTAATTACTACTTGGCTGACCCCGGACGCACATTAGATCAGTGTTTAGGAGGGTTGTGCTGCTGGAACGACGGTCTAATGTTGGTGGAGTTTGGGATTATGGCCAAGTTGTCGGAGTGAAAAAAAGTAAATCCACTGAAACTGACATTTAGGATCTCATGCGGTTGCTGACATGAGAGAGTTGTTTTCTATGGCAAACCAATGCTTCATCACGCAACTCGCTGGTGGTCCCTACTTCTTGATTGGAAAACGCGGATAACGTAATGAAGCTTCATGTATTGCGTCGCGCTAAAGTCAGGAAATCCTATGCATGCTTCTGTCTCATTCGTGCATCCAACAGTCGTAGACTTCCGTCTCTGGCCGAAATTTCCGATCCAGATGCGATGTATCACTCTTTGCACACTAATCTGCCCAAAGAGGTTATGCAATTCCGAGACTTCCCGTTCTCTCCGGACCTACCATCGTTCATTCCGAGAGCAGCGGTGCAGCGGTAAGCGAGCAAGGCGGCGTGAGCGTCTTTGTATAGGACTCATGTAGGTATCTCGAGGATTTCGTGGACAGCAATAGGTTGAGAGGATTTATCAAGTTCAACGCTGAGGCCGTCAGTGTTGAGAGATCAGGCGAGTTCCGCTTAATCAGTTGTTAACTTTTCACAACTCTTCAACTTGTTGCTCTGACAGCATTGGCCGGTCATGACCATTGGCGAGTCACATGGAGAGAGTATGAATTCCAGAGACCAGATGCTGCCCGAGCTCCTTCCTTTATCTCGGAAGATTTCTCTGGAGTTTGCATATGCAATGGTCACTTCGATGTCCCACATATACCGGTGGAGTTTACCGCTCTCCCAAATGTGGTAGTACCATCTCACTTGGCTTCTATCTCCTGAGGTTCGCATTTGTAGGTTCATTCTAGGGCATATGATGGGCCAGAGCCATTTAAAGGACACAGAGTATGTATAGTAGGAACTGGGCCTAGTTCGGCTGATATTGCTTATGAAGTTGGTAAGGTGGGTACCTGTTCATCCGTAGTATCGCTCTAAGAGTCTTTATGTTGTTGAGTTTCGAGGGCATTGCTCAGAGTAGGTATGGTTGCGCTGTCAATCACCGTGCTGGATCGCCATCACGAAGGTGAAGATGTTGTTTTTGACAGAGGCAATTAGTCACGCGGTGAAATCCCAGTGACTCAGTACACTGAGCTGGCTCATAGGTACGTTGGTGAAACGATTGGATCGAACCGAGCTGTTGAGCTTCGATACGGTTCTCTTATGCACGGGCTACGAGTACTCTTTTCCTTTTCTGGATGGTGTCGGGACGGATGTGGTTAAAGATTTGCTGGAGCTCATCATGTGGTCTAGTGATCCAACTTTAGCCTTCATCGGGCTGTGTTCGGGAGTGGTAATGATAGCTTAGTGGTAGTGATCAGGAGTTTTATATTGAGGTTCAGCAGAGAGGTTTATTTTCACACATTCTCTGGGACATACAGTTAGACTCAAGTCAGCTAAACATAGTTTCATCATGGAACTTCCATACACCTCCCAATCTAGCGAGAATGAACGTTGGAACTGGTGCTACACCCTGACATTTTGCAGCACCCTGTAGTTGAGAAGCATCTTTTTCCGGGTTACACATTTCATACTTGGCGATAAGTCTATCTTGTGGGTCCCGTTCTTCATTTTGGTGTGTATAGATAGAGACATCGAATGGGTCTGTATTAGTGGCATTGATTGATCGCTTGGAGATACCATTCCCGCTGATGGAACTACAAGCGAAGATCTACACCGAGTTCATGTCAGGACGGCTTCTCCGGGAAAGGTTGAAGAAGTTTGAGCTTGTCAAGAAGAATAATGTAGTATTAGATTATAAATAGGGATGCCTACTGATACTAATGGAGGCGGCCTTTTGTGTGATTCCCATCCTCTTTTCCCCTTCCACGAAGTAGTTGGGACCCAAATCACTCCTCAGATATTCGACATGAAGACGGTTTGCCCTGATTCGGGTCTCCCTTCGCGAGTCGTATATTGGCGTCGTTTGGTGGATCTCCTTGATGGGAATGATCATCAAATCAACCTCCGTCACTGGAGGTTGTGTACCGAAATACACAATAATGTGGGCCCAACTGGGCTCGACAACTTCGTGCGCTTCTTCCCTGGCCACCCCTGACAATTTCGTACCAGCAAGAGTCATAAACACTCGGCGCCGACGCGTAGGCTCGCTTGCTTCTTCACTGCATCCAGTGGGAGCTCAACCATGTCTGCCTGATACATGGATTCATAAGACAGGTTCGGTTCAGGTTGCTCAACGTAGACGGGACAAGTTGCCTTGGGAGCCTCCGACGTACCGGAAAGTTCAATACAGAGTAGAGGCTAGAGGGGAGGAGTTGGTATGGAGTGCAATCGAGCCGGAATCTGTACCTATATGATCGTGTACTAACAGTAAAACCAAGGTTTTTTGCTCGGCATCGAGTGTTAACGCGATGTGAAGAAAGTATTTTCTACCTTGCTGGCGTACCAGTAATAGGAGAGGTTCGTAGTTCGCTGATTATGATCGTGTCGAGTTGTCTTCTCAACGGAAGGATGTCGTATCTTCAAAAAGATATTCAAATGCTGGAGTGTAACATATGGAATTGGTCTCTCGAGATGACTGCTTTCGCACTTGAGAGTATTGAGGACACTTGAGGCACGCGCTCACCATGCTTGGCAACCTCGCAAGCCACAATACGTACTAAGTTTTTTTGTGACAGAGTTGAATTGCTCCATCGGCATGGGAGATCATCCCTCTACTGAACGCCTACCATTCGAACGACTGAGCCGCGGAGTGACGAGGCGATTATGTTGTGCAGCAATGACACGGCGAAAGCCCACAACAGCATGAGAGACCGCGATGACATGGAAGAGGAATGTAATGCTTGTATGTACTTCTCCCTGAGAGTGCCGACATTCAGGTAGAGGAGCTAGAAATCCATAGGCACTCAGCCATATGTCCTTAGCTGAGTTACGACCCATCGAAATAGTGAGGTCATCTGATATGTGGCTCGATTCTACATCAACCCCAGATCTGACACTCTTTCTCTACGTCGTCGTAGCGGTGATGTCGCTCAACATTGTGCCCACTATGGAGGTGATGCCGCCTTTGCGACTCCTGTATAGTCGCCGTCATCGGGTGGCTTACGACAGGAGCCCAGAGTACCGGTAATCTTCCTTTGGAACAGTGGTTGCCATCGCGTATCGCTGGTGCGAGCCTCCAATGACTGGAGGACTTATCTACCAATGGCCTCAAGCGGTCAGGGGTCTATCAGGTAGCAGAGACTAAAGGCTCATCGGTGAACGATGAGAGGCATAAACGTGCATCAGGAATTTTGAATCTTGAATTCAGATAGTAGTTTCATCAATACGCATTTGATGTTGACGGTGAGATGAAGGGCGCATCAGGACAACCCGTTACTCGGGAGAATGATGGCACTATACTCGAGCTATGATTATTATTCCAAGCTCAACTCGAGAATGGAGACAGAATTCATTACGGTGGAAGTGTTGTCACTAGAACCAAGACTACCAATAGCATCGCACATGGGTCTATCGAGGTGTGGCAATGGATAAAGTGATGAGGTGGATGTGGCTTGACTGAGATGAGTCTTGCAAAATGCAGCAGTGGCGGCGTTGTTCCATTTCGGTGTTCGGACGATTGCAAGACCTCATCGCTCCATTCAACTTTTTCATATCCGTACGCGTTGCCGTTCTGCGGGATCCCGCGAGTTGCCCTCCCCCCGATGATTGTTTACCCCTCGTTCGGAGGCATTGAAACACCGTGGACCGTGCTGTGTAGTGGTGCAGACTCTGTCGGTTGAGCACGTCGTTGTTGAGGTAAGGGACACTATCCGACCTCATCGTGGGTAGATGGAAAGCGGCCGAACGAGTCCCCTGGTGTTGTTAGTTGCGAACTCTATATTCTCCACATTCACAGAGGAGACGGTGTACGCCGAACTGGGCGACTCGATACTTTCACCTCATAGACTCCTTTTCATGGCAGAGAACTCCGCCGTAGATTAATCGCAGTGCTCCACGCAGTTTGCCTAACAATATTACTTCACTATCTTTGTGATGTAGAGTTGATTCAATTAAGTTCAGCGTAGTCTGGGAGGCTTTAGACGGATTTGGCTTCTTCCGACGTTGTAGTTGAACTCCCCCGTATCGCACAAGATTCTTGCCCTGAGGGATACATAGAATGTATGTGTGTTAAGTGGACTTGTTATCTTCGATAACCTGAGCTATCATGTTGATAGACTGCTCGTCCGAGGCAAGATTGGCAGAAGCTCATAACATTGCGGAACATCTGGAGAAGTTGGTGAAACTTGCCGATAAGTTTCTATCGGATCGGTCTAAGGATGAATCGTTGGTAGAGGAGCCGACCTATCCGACTCATGCCAAACGAGATGTAAGCCCAACATCGGAACGGCAGAGTTTTCTGTAGTGCTTGCAGGATGTGGTAATTTGGTACTCGTCATGGGCACATTGCATGAGCCCTGCAATCTTATCCCAGTTTCTTTCCCTTACGAGAAATATTCGTTATTCCTTGTTTCTACGTGATGGCGATAGAATGTCATTGAGTGATGGTCATTC